TTATATATATATATATATATGTATTTTGAACTCACGTATTTTTATTAATATATATTTTTTATTAAAATTATAAAATATTTTATCATTTTAAAACAAACAGATACAAAGTTGAGTTTGAATTTTTATTAAAAACATATTAAGTTGATAGTTTGAATAAAAAGTTATCTTCAATATGTTTTCTATCCAAATCATGTGATACAATAATTTTAACAAAAAATATATAAGATATTGATATATTATTGATTTTGAATGCTTAAATTAAAAATAATATATTTTTTTATATTTTTTTACCAATATTTTTTATTTTTTATATCTTTCATTTACTTGTTTATATTCATATTACATATATAACAACACATGAAAATTTTATTATTTAGATTAAAATTGACTTATTATTTCTTTACAAAGATAGAAATAAGTTAAGATACACTATATTTACAGAAGTGGGTTTAACCTACTTGATAATTTTTAAATTTAAATTTAACTTATTATTTATTATAAGTTTTTTTATTAAATTTAGTCTAATTATTTTAAAAATCTCATCTGATTTATTAGTTTGTCTTATAACTTATTTTGTATTAAGACTTTTAATAGATTATTAAATTTTTATAAATAGAATATCAAATCACTTAAATATATATGTATTTATAAAAAAAAATATAATTTATATTTAAATAAATTATAAAAATAGTTCAATATTTTAAATATTTATAATAAAATTATATATTTTTATTTATTACTTTAAAATTACATATGATATTCATATCATTAAATAAATCTAATAGTATAAAGTTTCATACTTTTTTTTGTTAATATAAAATTTTATATTTTAAATTAACAAACGCAATATAATTAAATAAATTTAAATTTAAAATAAATAAATAAAAATCTAAAATACATAAATAATAATATTATTCTAAACTAAAATATAAAAATATTAGTAAAAATATATATATTATGCAAAAAAATTCTAATAAATACAATCATTTCTCTAAAAAGATAAAGAATAAAAATACTCTCTATTCATATTAAGATTTATAATTTAAGAATTTGTTTATTTTTGAAATATGGTTAATCATGTGATATGAGTTATAACGAAATTTATTTTGATGGATATTGTTGCTGTTCACACACTTCATCCAATTAAACGTCGGCAGCTCAGAGACCCACCGGCCACCGTCCACCGACAATAAGTTATTTATGGCTGACTTGAGATTCTGCTTTCAGCACCGACACCCATCCTTCTTCTGTTCTGTCTCATCCCTTTTCTGCCTCCACACCTCAAATCCAACTTTATCCACGTCATCAATGCTTCTGGATATCAATTGTTTGACTATATAATAAAACATTAATAAAAAAGTTAAATATTTAATATTATTAATATATTACATTCTGTTATATTTTATGAATTTTAATAAAATTTTATTATACATAATTTTTTACCATGTGTAATCATTATTAACCATATAACCTGCGTGGATTCCAATCCTACTCTTGTCCTGGATAGTCATTTTCAATTTTGTTATAGTTTCTAACATCTTCTTCTTGATATATAATCTGAGGGATCATGGCTTTGTGTAGTTTTACGGGTGAACATTGGAACTTCAAGCAAGAAATAGTAAGACTAAATGCAGTAAAACGAGGGATTCAACTTAGTCTGGGTCACCCACTTAGGTTTTATGGGGAAAAAGCTTACTTTTTATTGAGTCTTAAATTAAAGTATACTTTTAAAAGGAGAATATCTTAGCACGAACCCGATCAAGGACATCACATGTATATAAGTCGAGTAAAAATAAGTTTTGATTCAATCTATTTTGTTAATTTCAAGTAAGGATATTAATACACTTTTTAATGTCTAAGTTTAGCAAGATATTAATATATGGAATGACTTATATCTATTGGCGCAAGTTATGCCTTTTATACAAGGCTCAAACTTAGGTTAATCACAATTAAGACACTATAATGCTTTCACATAATACACTCTTACGCGACACAAATTGTGTAATGCCTAAATATCTAAAAGCATTACGTGTTGTGTATTTGCAGAATGAGGCACTTTATAAATTCCAATTATGAGATCAGCGTCCTATAATCTTGTGTGAAACCTTTCATCAACCCTAAAATTTTATCACAAAGGAAAAAAGAATTTAATATTTCATCGATGGTCTTGCAGCTATGATTGTTTGCTCAGCAGCTTAAGGTACAGGTCTGTGTAGATCTATCCATTCAAACCAAAAACTACCTCAACAGTTAAAATTAATTAACATTTTTTTTCTAGCCTAACACAAACATGTCCATGATATTGTAAGTAAAAGAACGTGGTATAAATTAATTGTCGATAGATATGGACTGCGATTGACACCTGCATAGTTGTGATTGATGCTTCTGTTGCACCAACAAGAGTCATGACGCAGATATGTGATCATGAAAGAAAGATCACATTTCTATATTTGTAACCAAGATGAGTCCATGACGAATTCAACGATTTAACTATAAGCAAAAGTAAATATGCTCCTAATTACCGTTGAAGTTAGGAGGACAGCAATCATTAAATAAATATTTCGTTTAAAAAATGTTTAGCACATACTCTTTAGAATATTAATAGAAAATGATATGATATGATATAATAAGAAATATCAACACTGTTTGAATGATTAAAAATTAAAATTATTGGTTCTAAAAAACTCAATATAAAAACCGCCTTTTACTATTATTTTCCTGTTTAATATACATATAGTCGATATTCAACCAAGGTGATAGAGATAGAAAATATAAAAAGATTTAATTAATTTTAAAAGATGAAGTGAATTTCAATGATTGAATAACTGAAAATATAATTAAAAAAGTTTGGTTTACCTTCTACCAAACAAAATTTTAATTTAATATGGTGATGATGGATTGATGTGTGCAGTGGTGTCCTGTCCAGATCATTTGTTGTCCTCCCATATCATATTATATATATCGTGGCAAAATGAAGAAAATGGTAGGTCAAGGGTTTTCTTAAAAGTGGGCACTGTCAATCACGCGCGTTGTTTTATTTTTTATTTAGTTTTCACACAATTTATTAAATTTTAATTCATATGTTAAATAAATTTATAAAAAATGTTAAGGATAAACCACTAATTTTATAATTATCAAAATATTCACCATCCATAAGTTAATTTGACTCACTCTACACTAAATATTAGTTGGATTAAAAAATTTTAACACACAAGTACCTTAAATTTTACGATCCCACTCATCCACCACTTTTGTAAGTTAGGTCAACTTAACTCATGATAAATGGAATTATCGTGGATATATAGATTGGATTTTTCTGTTTTTAAAAATAAATATTTTTAATTAATATGTTATATATCGTATATAAACAAGAGAATATTTTATGTATGGAAAATTTTTTAGGATTTAATTAGAATATATTATTAGTATAAAAAGACAACTAATTATATAATATCATATCACTAAAAAATATTAATTTTTATGACAAATATTTTTTTAAATCATGTCTAAATATTATTTAATGCTTAATAATATAAGTTTTTTTTACATTAGCAGTTTATAAAAAAATAAAAAATAATAAGTTAAAATGTTATAATTAATTAGTACGAGTTCTAATAAGTAATTTTAAAAATTTAAATAGACATGATACGAAATGAAAATAAAATATAATAACTAATTATAATCTTTACAATTATAGCACCATGCTGATGCCACTCACAAATTTAATGGATATAGCAACATCATTATCTTCGCATAAAAGTTTACATATAAAAATCGTTATTGTAGTTTATCCCAAACGAACGCACTCTTTGAGGTAACATGATTTTTCTAAAATATATATATTTTTTAAAATATCAAACACAGATAAATCCCATTAAATTAAAGAACGATTGAATAACCACTCAAATCAATGTATAATCGAGACCATTTTCAGAAAAAGAAGAAGAAGAAAAGACTTTATAACCAGAGGGAGAGAAACAGAATTATATTATGTGGCATGGTCCAAATTAGTAGCAAAATTGAGAGAGAAAAAACTAAGTGAAAGCTGAATATTTTAACTAATCAAAGTCCTAATTATCTTAAAGTTAATTAAAATGAAAATGTGTGTCCGAACCTTATATTATAGTGAGGAATCAAACTGTGAGTCACAGGGCATTATTGATCATGTTTCATGAAATTGGATTACACATCGTCCCCACTTTAAGCAAGAGCCTCTTTAATCTTTATAGTATTCCGATTCTTTATCATTGTTACTTTTAATTATTATAGTAATGACCCACTAACTATGGCCTCTCTTGCGGCGTAATTTATCATAGACTTATGATCCTTACCCATAAAAAAAGGACTCATGATCCTTACGAAAAAATTGTAAGATATTATGCAAAAAGTGAAATATATTTTTTTTTATTAATTTCATATGATCTTCTAAAAATATAATATAATTTTGTCTAGGGATAACAATAAAAGAGCAAAGCATATGCATTTTTTTTATAAATTTAATTTTGATGAGTTGTAATTGTATAAAAAATTACGTTAACATTTAATAATATATTGTTGCATAATTTGATAAATTTAACATTTTATGCAATTAGTATTTCAAATTCATTGAATAAAATAGTAAATCAAAATCAAAATAATCATAAAAGTCTTATTCTAATAATGTTAACTGTGAAAATCAAATTATTTTTTTATAAACAAAATTAAATCCTTGGTTGATTTGATTTTGTAGGAGAATATTTAACCATTCACGGCACAGATATTTTTGTCTGCGTTACGCAAACAGATTATCCAGAAGCTTTATATTCAAATTCAACTAAATATTGGGGGTAATTTATGATTAAAAAAAAACGGGTATTTTTTTTGCATAGATACTAGATAGTATTACCTAATTTTCTTTTCTTAAAGAACAAAGGAGTATTTTGCAGGAAATATGTGGGACCCAGTGGTGAGTCTTAGTACCTACTTTAGCAATGAAGATGAATGGTATGGTAGGGGGTGGTGGAATACAAATACACATATCATCGACGGTATCTTTTGAGATAGGAAGGAGATTGTAGGTTTAATTAAAGAAAGAAATCCTTTATGTGGGAGTAACAGAAGCAGTGTGTGGAGAACAACACATCATAAACAGACACAACATTATCAACTGTTGTTGTTCACACACAATGGTGGGGAGACAGACATGATCTATCTGTGTTCTTCACAAGACTACTGTTTTCGCGCCTCATCCTTATGTAGCACAAACACCCACCTCCACCACTACGCTAGAGTCATCATCATCCCTTGCTAGTTCATAATCTTGTCACTTGTGAGTCTCTCTTTACCTCACCACTTGCATTGCACTTGCAGCATAGGTTGCTTCATTTGTGGGAGATTTCTTATTTGTGTTTTTCTTTTTCTTTTTCCTTTTGTGGTTGGTTTTGTTCATTTCGGTTCTTTTATTTTTCTGTCTCTTTTTGGTTTCCTGGGGGAGGATTGTGTCGAGTGTGTTTAGCTGACCTAGCCTAAAAGTTTTGTCTTTATTGCGAAATTTACGGCAATCTTTGCGCTCTAACTTCTGGGGTGTTGGAGTGGAGGTAAAGTTGGTCACTTGGAGATCTGGATGGGGCTGATTTTTAGAGACAGCGGCAATGAGTAAATTGGGTATGTGGGGAGCTTGTGTGCTAGGGAGACTGAAAATTTGTTCGAGTAGAGTGGATTTCTTGATTTTGGTTCGTAGTTTGGGACAAGACACTCAAGATCTAGGGAATATTGCTCTTTTGGGTTGCTCGTGTTAGATATCTAGTGTAGGGGTTGCTTGGATCTAGCCAAAAATGAAGTTATCTTGCATGTGTGTATTTCAGATCAGAAGTTTTTGTAACACACGGGTCTTATTGTTGCAAAAAATAAATGAAGTAGGGGTTTAATTCTTTCACTGGTTAAGTTGATAAACTGTTTTGAATAGACCAAGCCTCAATTATCCTTCTTTTTTTTTTTTTTAAATCATGGGATAATAAGAAATAACTTTTTTTGAGAATTTCATGTGACTTGATGATGTTTCATCTGTTGTAACCACTTGATATTCAATGGCTTAAGCTAAATTTATCATGTTGATTGTTAACTAGATACTCCAAAACTGCATTTCAATAAGGATTATCCGATTGATGGTTGCCCATTTCTTAACAGCTTGGATATGGGGACTCTGGCACTTGAAACTGAGGATGTAAACTCAGATGTATACCTTTCACTGGGGCTAAAAGAATTGGATAAAGGAGTAGGAGTTCCACGGGTTTTGTCACTTCTTTCTTCGCTTCTTGAAAGGTTAGTTCAGAGAAACGAAACACTATTGGAGGCAAATAACATAAAAGATGTTGTTACAGTGTTTCATGGTTTAAGAGCTCCTACTCTTAGTGTTCGTAAATACGTTGATCGTATCTTCAAGTACGCATGTTGCAGCCCATCCTGTTTTGTTGTGGCACACATATATGTGGATAGATTTATTCAGCACACAGAAATCAAATTGACTTCACTTAATGTGCACCGGCTTCTGATAACAAGCATTATGCTAGCAGCAAAGTTTATGGATGATGCGTAAGTGCAAGCTTGAAATTGAACAAACGTACATAATATCCGACTGCTGTTGTTTGTATTATCTGTCTTATGGTGGATATTTTGAAGCTGTGTATTAAATTTATCTAATTTGTGGGCCATATATGGTGATAGTTAATAATATGACTGGTCTATAGCTGGTTGACAATGACAACCTTAGTAGTGTTACAATATGCTGAATCAATGATCAATTTGACAGAAAGGATGATTTAAAGAAAAAATATAGATCCTAATACTTTTACCATTTTGGGTAGCTTTCATTGTCTATATTTGTTTTATTCAGCTAAAGCTAATAACATAACTCTATTTGGTTTTGCAGATTCTACAACAATGCTTACTATGCTAAAGTTGGAGGAGTGAGCACATCTGAATTAAACAGGTTGGAGATGAGCTTTCTGTTCAGCATAGATTTTAGACTTCAGGTTAGTGTAGACACGTTTGGAAGATATTGTTGGCAATTGGAGAAGGAAGCAGCAGAAGCACTCCAAATTGAAAGGCCGATGCAGGCTTGTCGAATTAAAGAAAGCTGGTCAAACAAAGATGATCCTACTTGTGCTTCCACAATTGCAAGATGAAAATATGCTAGCACCAATGTAATATTGCTGTTCCACAATTAAGTGGGACAAAACGAAATTTGAAGAGAAAAAGAAAAGATTGCTGTATACTCGCCATTGGTAATTCAATCATTTTTTCAGGGACCATTGTGGATGGTTATGCATCCTTTTCTCTCTAGTTCTGTTTTTTGTTTTGCTCCTCATTTGTAATTGCAACCTTGTAACGGATAGAGATTGTGATGAAATTTTATCACCTACAATTCATTTGAGTGTCCTCTAGTACCTGTAGTGGTTATGGTCTTCACCATAAGTAATATATCATTTGCTTACTTGATTAGGAAAAAATTGATTAGTGCCCAATTTGTCAATTCTGTATTTGCAAGGAAAGCACAAATTCTATTAACACACAACTTCTGAAGAGACAACTTTTAAGACGAAGGACTTTCTTATTGGACCAAAGATATTTCATATACATAGATTCTCCCACTTGTCATCTCTTTATCCCCACTCAAGCTAAGTGTTCTTATGCTGCTTAAAGTATGCTTTAATTCATTTTTTAAGGTTTAAAGAAATAATCACCAAATTTTAAAATATTGGCCGGCTTGAAGCGTTAGCTTAAGAGTGAAAATGAATAATATTTTATTAGATTCATATTGCCCAATCCCAATGACATTTACCCGATCCATTATCTAAAACCTAAAACCAGAATTCTCTCCTCTTATATACGGGAAATTAACTACTATAAGTTAATTAATAATCCTAGACACATCGTCAGTGCCAGGGTCTTAACCAATGTGAAATTTTTGATCATAACAATAATCGATGTTGAGAGACACCACCCTCATATTAATAGTAGGAAAAATCAGTAATATATGTAGCTTCCTCTATTTGATGGTCCTGCCAACTTCTAATTGCTTAGGCCTAATTACGTTTATCGGTTCTAACAGAAAGACCTTGAAGTCCATACCAAAAATGCAATAAGCATCGGTCCTAATTTCAATCAATATCTCACTACAACCAAGAAATATACACAATACTACATTCATCATGCATGATACATACATACAAACTCCCATCCCATGGCACACTAGTTGTATACAGCAGAGCCTCACTTCATTCCTAATAACATGAAGCATCCAAGGCTTCAAATCCTTGGTTTCGTGTACCACAATTCGCCAAAGGTTTGTCTTGTCAGAACATTCAGACCTGCTTCCATAAAGTTATTCATAATCACATCCATATATTCATTTCTCCCCGTGCAGGATAGAGTTATGCAGTCAGCTAGTGGAGGTCTCCAGCATAAGTTTCAACTTAAGCTTCATGGAGTGGTGCTTTTGAAAGCAAACATCTGACATTACCTTGGAGGCCTCTCCAGTGCAGTCCAACCAAACTTACCTTTTCTAAAATCTGCTAGAACCCGGAATGCGGCTTGATGAACATTTCCATTAAATACTTGAACTGCAAGCTTCTCTATGAATCTGCAATTTAGTAAATAAATATATAAAATCAAATTGAGCACAAACTGCTGAAAATATCGGGAGACATTAGCCCTGTCTGACCTCTAAATGCAAGATACACAAATCAATGCAACATAAGAATTTAAAGAAAAAATAATCACTGGCATACGTTTTACCACATCTACTGTCAACATCAATCTTGTATCGTTTACAAAGAGCATCTCCACCTGCATTGAACAAAGATTGATAATTATAAGTATGAATATGGGAAAGGGGGATCAAATCAAACAATGTAATATCGATCCAAATCAAAGTAATGCATCCTAAACAAGATACCATGAAAAAGAAACCCAGCCCCTCTTTGAGATATAGAAACTGTCATTTTTATTTAACCTAGATAGGATTCCACTTTGGGTCTTCATGGTACATACCTACTGTGGGAAGTTTTGTAAGCATCTGCACAAGAATTGCAGCAACATCAGCCACATCATAAGCCCTCTCTCCAATGTCATCACATATGGCAAGTTTTATAGCAGCTGACTGATCACTGATTCGCATTGGGAGTATCCCAGGAGAATCCAGTAGTTCAAGATCCTTCCCAAAACGAACCCACCTTTAACAATAAAATATGATAAATTACACATTCAGTATGTTAATGAGAAATCCAGGGGTACACCACTGTTTCTTTGTTTGAGCCAAGACTTTTAACAAAAAACTGTTTTTGACATTAATGGCACTTGGACAGAATAACCATCATTAACATTTTTCCTCTATTGAGAGCAAAGAACACCCCAGAATATATCATTTTCAGAATTTGGGCAAACAAAATGAATAACCTCCTTCAATTTCTTAACTGCTTTCAATTTATAGATAAAAAATTATTTAGCTAAACAAAATGAATAACCTACTTCAATTCTCTTGTGACTCCTGGCCTGGGAGCTGCTGGGCACATTCTTCGCTTTAACAAACGGTTGATCAAAGATGATTTTCCAACATTAGGGTATCCAACTATTCCAGCTCGAACCTACTAAACAGTAACCCGTATTCTTTAGATAATAACAATAATATTTTGAGAAGCATTGTGTGTTAACGAAAATTATTTGCTATCAATTGAAGGACAAGTATTGCTCCATGCAAATTAATGGATCTAATACCATAGTACATAATTTGCATAATAATTAATGAAATAACAATTGGAATAGAATTATGAACCAAAAGACAAAGTAACATGTTTGTAAAAAAAAGATAAAGTAACACGAATAATTCACATAAGAATCAGATATTAGGCTTAGCCTTGGAAACTCAATTATATCCATTGAAAAAGGACTAAAAGTGTGTACAGCTAATAGATAAGCTACTAAGGCACCTTTTATTTTGGTAAAATAAGAAATACAAGATGAATGCTAGGGGAAGAATGTATAAAGCAATCAGCTAAATTTTATTGTTATATCATTCACTGAATCATTGTTTCACACTAGATGAAATTTACTCAAAAGAATCAGCAAAACTTTGATTTACTATACAATTTACTGGACAATATTTTAATTTAGGGAACAGAGAAGCTGCAAGAAAGAAAGAGAGTTGTGACTATTGAAAACAGGTATGTATTCAGCTCTTTCTTTCTCTAACAAAACGTATGTTCCTTATTCTTTGAGATGGAAAAGTAGTCCTTTTTATAAGTTACATGAGAAAAAGAGAGTTGTGAAAATGAAAAGTGAAAACTATTATGGACACCCTAATTTATTTCTCATATAAAAGATATGATTCCTTATTCTTTGAGATAGAAAATAGTCCATTTACCAGAGAAATAGCATAGAGAATGAACAAAAGAGAATAAAAAATGGGTTTGCAATTGCTAGGAGCAACCCACCGGACGAGGAAGTAGTCCTTTGGATCTACGCTTAACATTTACATCAGCTGCTAATTCCTTGGCTAACCGGCCTAGCTTCATTGTGCCCTGTACATACAACATATGATCAGACATCCTCTACTTGAACCTTCAAAACATGAAGACCTATGGTAGGAAAAAAATCTTGTTTGAATACCATTCCGAGCTGCCCATTGGAGAAGACAACCTTCGTGCCATGTCTAGCAAAATAAGCCGCCCAAGCATTTCTGTCGGCAGTTGATATCATGTCTTCTCTATTCAAAACCAAAATTCTCTTTCTATTTCCAAGCCATAGATCCATCTACAAAAGCATAAATAACAGTGAGATAAAGATTCAGGATCTATTGTCCTAGAACTTAAGGCATTAATATTGTAATGGTATTACGTGACATTCATAAAAATTTCAACACTGGCACAAAAAGATCCTTTTCAACATTGACTGTAACGATTTATGATAAAAACTACCTATCAAATGAAGCAGCTAAGTCGCAGTTCATGTCAACAGTCAATACAATTTTTCTAACCTATGCAACATAGCATATGATAAGAAATTAATAAATAGTGAGTGTTTTTTATTAGAATTGTAGCATTCAATTGCATTGAATTCTGTAATTTTCAATAAAAACTTACTGTATGTACATTTTTATTATATACAATATTGCACTATTTAGAAAAACCATTAATAAAATTAATTAAAAAAGAAAGAACATGCCTGTGGATGACTTGTTGACATAGGAATTCGTCCATCCCGCACCTCTATTACAACATCAATCAACTTGAGTTGCTCCTTCAGTTCCTTTTCTGCTTTTGCTATATGGCCAGGAAACCACTGCCCAATACCCCTAAATCAAAATCAGCATCCCAAGTTTTGCAACAGCACACAACGCAGATAAAATAGAAAAACACGTAAACACCTTACCTGCACAGGGCGTAATGCCTTTGTCCAATGATAAAGATCAGTGTCAAGATCACTCCAATGATCATTCTGTCCTTGCCACCCTTCAAACCCATTTCCGTTTGGATTTGGGTACCCATTTTCACTCCAACTAGGCCCTTTCACACCAACTATCTGCATCACAAAAATATTCAATGTTAAAGTCCAGAGCTTCCTATATTTATAATAAAAAATAAATAAATAAAATTGAATTTTTAAACAGCAAATACATGACAGTTGTTGAAGGGTACGAATTAAACGAAAGCAATTTCGAAAAAGATGAAAACTCGAATGAGAAGGGGACCTGAATGGTGGGAGATTGAGATGGGAGGGCTGATGGGGAGAATCTTGCTCTGTTGGAAACGAAGTGTGAAGAAGAAGAAGAAGATAACGGTGGAGAATTGGGGACCCACAAGTTTGATAGCTGAACACTCATCACCATGCTATTGCTATGCCTCTCTCTTCTGTTTCTGCTTCAATTTTCAACGCTGCCCACAACGCTAGCGTTTCTCTTTGGGATAATTCTGAACGAAAACCCCTTTTTTTTCTTTTATTTTCGATATTCACCAGATGAAAGCTAACTGGATTTTTGTGTGTAAAATATAATATGCTGTATTGGGCTAAAAAAATATAAAAATTATTCATTAAAAATCGTTTGTAAAATATAAATTATATATTTTTTAAACATTTAAAAATAGTTAATTATTTATTCAAGGTGCAATGCATCAATAATGTGGCCCATCTCTCAATTTAATTACTTTTGAGACCTAAAAATTATTAAAACGAAAGCCATTTCCTATTAACTGAAAGAAAAATTTTATGACTTAATTAAAAGAACAAAAAACAAGACCAGAAAATAACAGTACCTATTGTGCTGTTTAAATGTTTAAAAGATAAAACGCAAAATCTTTTTTAATTTTGGTTCGTGGATGACTTATTTGAAAATTTCGAAAAGGGCTAAAAATCCCTATGGCTAAATAGAAGTAGGTCTTTTTGTGTTTCAATGCAACTTGAGTCATCCAAGCTTATAAAAATATATTTATAAGAGAATGAAATAAATATAAAAAATAAGTAATTTTTTCATAATTAAAAAATAACTTATGCTCTTCATATTTTAGAAAATGTAATTCCCTTTGTAGAGTTCAACAAACAAGCTAATAATGTGTTCCTATAAAAAATTGTTCAAATAAAACACTCATACAAAAATGTCCAAACTCTAAACACTATCCATATTATAAACTTTTAAATATAAAGTTTTTAATTTCAAAAAAGTTTAAACTAACTTTCAAATATATTTTAAATATATTATTTTATATCATTAAATTTATACATTTTGATTATCAATGAAGATTAGTTTAAGTAATAAACAACTCAGTATCGTTTAAGAAAAATTTTAAGTTTGAGTTTTTATTTATACAAAAAATTCTTGTGTAATAGACTCACCTATTACATCTAAATACACAACTCAAATTATATATGAATTAAACTAGATAGAAAAAAAATTATATATTTTAATTATGTGTTATTTATTTTTTTATTTTTAATTAAATAATTAGCAATTAATTGGAACAAAGATGTTTTTGATTTTTCATTTTATTAGTCCAGGGGTGGGAAGTAAATGGATCTTTTATCACTATAATTTGCTTGTCTTCTGAATGAGAAAATCAGTACATTACACTAATTTAAAAGTCGGACTGAATCAACTGCTTTTACTGGTTGAACCAAGAACCAATTAGGCGTTCAATCTAATAAACTCAAAAAATCGGTAGCTTAAGAACCAGAAAAAACTGGCTAAAACTTAGTTAAATCAATTAAAAACGGATGACAAAAAAATTATATTATATTTTATTTTTAAAACAAAAATCAAACATACTCTTACTTTTTATTTTTTAAAATTGTTTTTAAAGTAAATAAAAACTTAATGACAAATTATAAAGACTTATATACACGTTATAAGTTATATTTTCAATATTGATTTTTTTCTTGCAGAGGATATATAATATAATTATTTTATATTAATTTAAAATTTAATTTGTCTTTATTTTTTAACATTTGACATTAATTTGTTATTTAGAAATATATATTTAATTACCATTAGTTCAATTTTAAATTAATATCATTACCAATCCAATAATCAGTCCGATTCTTAAAACATTGTTCCGTTGTATAAAAAGCATTTCAAGCCAGCAATTGCCAAATCTTCATGGGGCACGACCAGAGGTGGCCCGAAATTCACCCACCTCTTTTGCTAATAATTTGGTTTAATCTCATATTCATGATATCTTAAAAAGGTTATGTTCCTCTTTGGGTCAAAGAATTAACCTCCTAAAAAACTGTAATGTATACATTCTTATCACCAAATGATTTTAACAAAATACGTTACTTCTAGTCTATACAGTCTTGTAACTCAGCTACACCAAGATGACTATTCCCCCACCAACCAAGCCTGTTAATAAAGAATGATCTGTAGTTCTATATCTAAGACATTTACAACTTTGTACATTTTCATCATTCCTCATAATGGCTAAAAGGGGATCCTCAAGAGTCAGCTGAATCAGAATCAGAATCAGCGTTGACGAGTAAAGTTGAGAAGAATTCACGTATGTCTGGTAAAATGCAACGAACCAGGCGACAATACCTGCATATTTGAGAAGAACATAACATTTGATCGAATGATCAATGACTGGTTGGCTTTCCTGGATTAAATTAGCCCCACCCCTCCTCTCCCCTCGATAAACACAGTGAAATGTGAAAGCGCTATTCAGGTTGTAAAGAATGTAACATACCATGGTTTGGCGACTAGGTTATCAAATTGCCCCAACATAAACAGTATGCATGAATGTTTTAATGTAGTAGCATTGAAAGCCTCCGACATCTCGTACATTAGTGATACATTTTCCACAGAAATATCCTACATTAATTTGATGAGGCATGGGATAAATTAGGCCTAAAAACGTTCTACAAAAACAAAGGAAATAAAAGCCACCGTGAAACTCATTTCTACCTGAGAAATAGCATATTCACAAATACGCTTAAGGTCGTCTAGAAGATACTGATCAGCAGCTTTGAGAAGATCCTGCGCAATATCCAAGTTGACGTCTACTGTTCCACAGTATATATACCTAGAGTGCCAACAGAAAACCACTTCATACCATAAGGCATAGTATAAAAACAAAAAAAGTAAGAAAGAAAGGAATAGCAGAAACTGCACCTCATCATCAACTCAAAGACTTCCCATGTAATATTTGGAATCTCTATATGCTTGGCTTCCGTTTCCTGCACCACACATCTAAAGAAATTAATATGGATACTTACGCTAAAGTCCTGTTCCAATTCAAAGTGATTGTGAAATTTTCATGTCAGGAGCAAGTTGAATCAATGCATCAGTTTAAAGAAAGCAAGTAAATGGACTAGTAACCATGGTAGTTTATACTCAAATATTTACAAAGTAGAGTTAGTTACAGCCAGTGTCCTACCTTTTATACGTAGAATAATTGTTAAGAAAGTAAGGACAAACAATTTCATTGGAAGACCATGTCACAAGAAAACTAAAAAACAAATTTACAAGATTAATTATTGCTTACCCTGTAACCACCGTCAAACATTGCGCGAAATATATCAGAAGAAAGTAAACAATCTCTGTGAGCATAAAAACTTCTACCTGAAGAAAGGAAAACAGTAAATTAGTACATATATCAAAATCAGTATCCATACAACAACTAACGGAAAATAATGGCAACAGATGCCCCACCTTCAACTAGGAATGTGACATCAGAAAGATTAGGATTGTTTATATATTCCTCGCCCAGGTACATCTGCAGCAAATATAGCCAACAATAAATATTATCGTGCGCAAAAAATGTAAAGTAAAAATCTCGTTTTTCCATTTTCATCCTCCTAACGTAGACAGCAAAATATCAGCAATTCAATTTCGAAGACAATTAAGTACTAGACTGATTTGAATAATGCAAATACGATAACATAGAACAAATGATTCAATAAGGAAAACAAAAATCCAAATAAACTAATGTGATAAACCCACTCATAAATAGCAAAAATACCTGGGGAGTAGGGGATGTAGGAGCAGCGTCAACAGAGACAGATCTGGATTTGGTAGCCAATATGTGAAGCGCTGCGGAAGCATCACCCTTCTGCTTTACGTTTGAAGATTCAAGAAGTTGCAGCAGCAATTCTAATCCTGAATATTTATCATCACACTGATTGAAAATAGTCTCCAAGTAACGCGAGTGAGAAATGACGAAAAATATATGGATCAAAGTTTATTACCGTTATTGTCAATGAATATAGTTTTTCGATCGTGAGGAGAACATAAATGAGCAAGAGCAATAGCTACACGTGTTTTAACACCTTTTTCGGCAAAGCGCATAAGATATATCAGGTGTTTCAGTACCTGCCAAAGAGCAGTAGAAATGAAAATCATATTCACCAATGTAACGGGGGTGGGGGGGAATCAGTTGAAAACTTGAAATTAATTATGAAGTTCTCATAAATGACTGAACTAAATCACCCGGATAAAATTTGCAAGAAAACTCACTCGCCCATGAATCTTCTCCTCTAATCTTTTTAATGTCTTTGCTACACACTCTTTAGTAGGCTGCAAGTTAAACGACAATCGTAAGGAAACCCGCTTTTAAATTAGAGACAAAAAAGAGTTCTAGTAGTGAACCTTAATTAAAAACACAATTATCATTAAGAAGAAATGCCAGAAAATTAAATAAAATCTGTTACTTTTACAAGGAAGAATAAAAAACATACTTGAACTTTGAAATGCCCATCCTGCAGTTTTTGAAAACCACCAGCCTTAATAATATCTGCCACATTGTCCTATAATACAAAGTCGTTAAGTCAGTGCGAGCATATCACATTGCGCATTAATGACTTCCAAAAGGCAACGTACAATGTTGACTAAGTAAAGAACAAGGAAAGTAACTTCACCTCATTATCAGCAAGACCATAGAGAGCAAAAGCAGCATTATGTTGAAGAGACCCATCCTTCGAGTCAAGAAGATTGAGCAGAGGCTCTATACCTCCGTTGTGGGCAATGCCAGCTTGATTATGTGAGTCCTAACATTTGATTATGTATGCAAAAATAGGTCAAGAAAAATACAGTCAAAGAAAAAACCAGCATATATATAATTACCGATACAAGGAGCATAAATATGTCGCATCTTGTATATGAATTTTTAAAGAAACCCACCCAATAAGTGTCAGGTTTAAGCCAGCAAATCCAATATAAAGCCAAAAATTTACTCTCTAGTATTTGAGAAATTCTTAAGGAGGCAGTGCCTACCATAGGCTCTCCATTCAACATTAACGCATGTACGATTATGTGCACGATCTTATAAACACGCATATGAAGAATGGCTTTAACAAGTCAATTGTTGAATAGAGATTATATGATAGACAGTGCCTACTTAGAACTTCATAGCATTTTAGCTTATCAAATATTAACATTAAATATGAGATTGTGGAACGATCCTAGATCAGGCTGATCATCCTCTGTTATGATAATAAAAAATTCAGTCTGAATGCATCAATTTATATTCTATTTATAGGCATATGGCTAAACGTTCGTTAGTAATAATCACCTGTGCCAATCTTCCAAGTGCAAAAACTGACATTTCCCGAAGCTGTACATCTGAAGACTTGAGCATGTCAACTAATGGTTGAATAGACCCTCTCTGGGCAATGTGAACCTGCATGAACCACGAAGTATGGAAGTCAATTTGAGAATCACATCACCTACTGACTAAACATATTGCAAGATTGCAACACATAAAGCTTGATCTACCTTGCAATCTGAATCTGTTGCGGCAAATTGACCAAGTAAAAGAGCTGCTTCTCTTTGACTCTCCAAACAGGGGGACCTATCATTAGAATCGTGAACTTGTAGACATAACTTAGGGGGAAAATACTGAATTACTGATATGGAATTAGGTCACTTTCAGCAAGCAACTCTAATGTTTGATATACATCATGATTCTACTATGGATTTTTTACTGGAGAAACAAAGATTGAAGTGTAATGTTACCTAAGCAACCAAATGACAGGCTGCAAAGCCCCAGCCAGAAGAACGTCTTTCTTAATATTTGGTGAAGAGTGAACCAGATTTCCAATCACACCAACCTGCAAAAAGAACTAATTCAGCTAGTGCTAGTAGTATAGAACTCTGCAGGCAGAAAAATCAAGTACAATGGATTGTATAAAGTCATTTCATCATCTTACCGCCTCATAATGTATTGAGGGATCATCTGATCGAAGCATTAGTACAAGAGTGGGTAATGCGTCGCATTCAACTATCTGCAATTTATTATTCATGTAAGCAACCACAACAAAAAATCGACCACACCATCGCTGCAGAAAGTCAACTACCTGAATTTTATTGTCATCGTTTTTAAATGCAAGAGTTCGCAAGGCCGCCGCAGCTGCCCTCTGTACCTTTATGTCATTGAATTCAAGCAATTCAACAAGAGGGGGGATTCCACCTTCCATCCTGAATTTACCATATCCTTATAAGCCTAGAGAATAGAACATTGGTGTGTGTGTGTGTGTGTATATATATATATAAGTATGGAGAAAATAGAAAAACCTGACAAGGGTCTTAACGCTGGTATTTTCATGGGCAAGGTTGGTTATTGCATCCGCTACTCTCCATAGAAGACCAATAAGTGATTGAGAAATGGCGCTTGTCTTGTGCCTCTTCAATAAATTTACAAGAGAGGGCAAGGCTCCAGCATCAACAATGAATTCCTGATACTCTGGCTGTTGGATGACGATAAGCAAAAATAAAAATCAGGGTTAAGATGCTTAATGATTTACAAAAATAAGGGGGGGGGGGGGGGGGGGGGGGAGAAACGATAAATGGTTTCAAAGAAACATAATCATTTTCTAAACAAGTGCCATACTGTATTACATTACTAAATGGAATGCACATAGAGATTCAGTGATAACACACACCGCCTTTATCAGTGGCACAAAACATCAGAGAAATTCCAATTTATTCGTTTCTTAATACTAAGCAGTTGCAAACGGAACTTTCAGATTCATCAAGACATTCTAGAAAAATTAATCCATAATAGTTCAAACATTTGAAAACCAAGACTAACAATACACCCTTTATCAGTGGCACACACATTAATTGAAGGATCAACACCAGAACACCTAAAATGTTTTGAGTAACAAAGCTTCTGCCACATACATCAATGTCTAAAATAAAAGTAGATTATATAATACAAATAATCCAAAGTAAATCTATAAGCACCCTATTAAATAAGCTCTTCCTCGTTCTACCTTAGATTCTATTATACACAACATAGCTATATTCGTCTAACTAAAAATACTTTGAATTTCACATAATTAAGAGTGTGAGTATAACTTAATTACTTTAACAGCAATAAGCCCTAGGACGAGGGCACATTCTTTCTCCACCTCGTGCTGGTAAGGCTCAACGACACCGTCGCTGTCATCTTTCACGGAGCATGGCGCGTCTAGATGCTTAACCAGAGCAGGAACAGCACCGCCATTCACTATGGTATCCACAAGATCCTCTGCAAGAAGTAGCGAAAGAAAACGGAAATTCAGCAACAGCGCGAAACGCATAAACGAAAACGGATATGGACGGAAAACGGCACCGTCATTGGCGAGTTCGGAAAGGACGTGGACGGCAGACTTAACGGCGGCGCGATTTGAGTGTGAGGAAGTGGAATTGAGGAGAGAAACTTGTTGAAGAATCTTAGCAGAGAAATCTTGGTGCAGTACCTTGCGATCTGTTTGGTCTTCCATTGAGTCGTTTTGCTGTTCGAGCTTGCGTTTCAAGCTTCGTCTAGCGGCGGGGTGGCGATTTTCCATCACAGTGGTTAGATAAGACGAAAATCAGTGAATCGATGTTTGGATTTGAGAGAGAACGGAAAAGCGAAAGATTGACGAGCTTCTCTTATACGATGGGGTTAGCGCTAAGACCCTTTTCATTAGCCCGCCAAGTTTCTTTTCAACATTTTTTGGCTACCGCGCGCATCCCGCCATGTGCGTTTATAAACTTGTCCTCATTTTCCTCTTAAGGAAATAATTTGAAACTTACAAAGCAAGCTCAATTTCCCAAAATAAATAAATCAAAAAATTAACAATATTTTCAGAGAATCAAGAAAATTGATATGTTCCTTCACTCATTTCGTCTGCAATACAAGTGCAGTTGACTAATATAAATTATAATTTCTTAAATTTAATATTTCAAATTGTATAACAAATTTTAATAAAATTTATGTATATATTTTTTTTTAAATGATTTATGAAAATGTTATTACTTTTGCTAACTCGTGACTTTTTGTAACATAACAAGGTAAAAATTCAGTTTAAATATTATATGTAAAGATTAAAAACAAGTACAAATTAGTGATAAATCATAATCAATGAATATTATATGACTACATAATCAATGAATTTAAAAATAAAAAACTTTAAAAGGTTGAAGACGTAATGAGTCAAGGAACATTTAAATAAAATAAATTATAAATTAAAAAACTAATTAAGTAATAAAATTAAAAGGATTACAAAATTTTAAAAATTCTGTCTAACGGTTTATTAAATTCATTTTAACGTATGCAAAAAAAAAATATCTTTAAAATATTAAAATTAAGGGGTATGTACATAAAATAAATCTAAACGAAGTGATTAAGTTTAAAAAATGAATGCAACTTTAATTGAAGAATTTTTATAGTGTACACAATTTTAAAAAAAAAGTATATGTGCATCAAAACACAAGAAATTTTTTGTTAAACTATAAATGAAAATTAATCGACGCAAAAAAATATCTAAAATTATTTGAAAATTTATTTATATTGGTCTGTTTTTTCATGTAACGTTAAACTTTAAAAACTTATAATGTTTTAATTTTTAAAAAAATCTTATAAAACTTTTATGAATGACCTGCGATTACGGTACCTCACGATATCATTTTTTTATTGGACGCTCGATATAATATGTTTTAATAAAACACAATGGAAAAACAAAAAGTGTTTGTTCAATAGCTCAGAGAAAAAAAAAAACATATAAAATAGAATAACATGTGCTTACGTGAGTATATTGTATTTCAAGTATTGTAGCCAATAATATTACGACACTGTAACCACGTATATGGTCAAACTCAAATTGAAATGAAGTTCGATTTGTTTATGGTCAAACTCAATAAATGAAGTTCAGAGTGATGTTGCTTTTTAAACGTTGGGCTAGCTGTGATTTTTTGGTCCACACGAAAAATGATTGCAGTTTTTTTTTATTGACGTGCTATATACTTTCTTCCTTGCCTCAACTTGATAAAGAGTGTTAGGCCTGACAAATAACAAAACCATATTCCAGCCCAACTGAGGAATGGCCCAAAGAAAAACAAAGAAGTCCAAAAATGAGGGTCAAACGGGCCTCTGAACGAAGATTAAAGCTTGGACTCCCCCACCCCCGCACCTTCCCAGAAGAATGAAACCATGCATTAAATGTTTGGATGAAAAAGCAATATCTTCAATTAAAAATTAGTTTGGAGTAAAGCGAGGTGAGGCTGAAAAGGTTTAAAAATAATAAATTTTTTAATATATAATTCTTCACTGGACATAATTTTTTTAATTTTAAGTTAAAATGCATTTTAACTATAATACAATGATATCATAAGCATTATCACGACGTCTCAGTTAAAATGTTATGTCAACGTAAGTTTGAGATAAAATAAACATGTCGATGCTAAGATGCGTCCTTATATGACGGTGTGATTGATGTTTTTCTATGACACACTCTCCTGAACCTTATTTTGTCATACATATCAACCATAAATAGACGGTTGCATTGAACAAGACACGATATCACGTTGATAAGTAATGAAAAATTTAAGCCTTTACCTTTAAAAAACGAAGGAAGGGATGGGGCTTTGGTGTATGATACGGTTTTTAAGTAGTGTAGTACATTGTAGCCAAGCTGTGAAGGTTGGTGTCACTTGTCGGCGAGGTTAAAGAAGGTTCCTTTGGGTTTCTAAAGGACATTGTGTATCCTCGCGCACCACATTTTTTTGCCATTTTCACTTCTCCATACAACTTTATTTGTCCTTTTCTTCCGTGTCCCCACCCACAAACCTTCCGTACTAACGTCCTGTTTATTTTAAATGCCATTTTTCACAGGACTTTAAACAATCGTATATGAGTTGACTAAACTCATGGTTGTTTTTCAGCACTGTGTCATGTATAATTGTGAAAGATAAAGGTAAATTTAGTTTTTTTCCCCCTTTAAAAGTATGCTGAAATTCTATTTTGTTATCTTATTTTTTATTAATTTAGTTATTTCATCATAACTATGTTAAATTTCATCAAAATCTCATCGGACAATTTTTTTTAATTATTGAACTTTATTAAGAGGATATTTTAAACGTTGTATTCCAATCAGTGTATCAAAAATTTAAATGAATTTGTATATTAAAATAAAATTAAAGCACGAGGATTGAGAGTTTTTCATCAAACTTCAAATTTAAATATCTATCTTTTTGTTTTAATTATTACCAACATTGATTTAGGAAATCTTTGATATACTAGTTACCACAAATATATTAAATTTTGGCATGACTTCGTTGGTTAAAATTCGATCGAAATCATATTTTTTTTGTCAACTTTTTTTTACTTTAAATATGAAATCATCGTACTTTTATAATTATTGATTAAAATTCTTTAAAACATTTCTTATTATTAATATGCAATTTTTACCTTAAAGTTTTGTTATATTTTGTAGCTTGCACAAAAGAAAATAAACGGGTCAAGATGGGCTAGTTTATTAATCCATAAAAAAAGCTTAATTTTAGAAAAAAATTTAGCAAAATTTAATTCAATTATAACGAAATAAAACCAACTTAAAAGGCTAAAAGTGTATGTATGGGACTGTTAGGTGAGATCCAATATCCAAAACTAAAAGGCCCTTAATTAAAGAAAATCAAACCTTCAAAAGGATAATGAGAAGATGCAAATGCAAATCTTACAAATAATGCCTCTGGTGTCAGTGGACCATGCATCCTACAAATGCAAAGGACTTGATAAAATATGTTGTCAGCAATAGTATTATTTGGTTCCTGACTAACTGCAAATGCAGATGCAGAGAGAATTTACAACGTAATGGACCTTGAATGAATTATAATTAATTAAAGCATAGCAGTAATCTTAAAAAGCTCATTCATTGCATGCATCTAACTTCTTCTACTTCCCCACTTCCCCGGGGCCATTGCTATACTCGACCCAATTAATTGCGAAGAAGGAAATTGTCAGAAAGGAAGGTAATTTAGATGATTCGCGTTCAATAAAGCTGTGTTATTGGCCTTCTTCAGTAATGGGTCAGTTTCAGAGCCTCAGGCTTAGGAACAATAAGATGTTCAGAATATGGCATATGTGTATGGCTCTTTTAATGGAATTACCAACTCAGAATTCAGAAGATTCAATATTGGGTGGAGCCCCATTGCACCAGTCCCTTGGGCATACCCTGACATTAACACCAAACTAGTATCCAGACATAAAGTTGTTAGTACAGTACCTTCTAGTACTATAAGGTATGGTAGCCTCTCTTCAATCAATAATGTTGATCAATGCCACCTGGGACTAACATTCTTAGAATAATGACCATTCCAATTTTCTTATCTTTTAAAAAAATTCCTGTTAATAACAGATCTAGTCTAGGATGTGTTGCACTTGTATTCCCACCCATTGAAAGGCAGATGAACAAAATAGAATTGCTCATATTGTTTCATTAGGTAACAGAGATCTAGTGTCTATTTAGATTGGCTGTGAAAATTTATTTTAATATATCTATAATTGTTTATTAGTAACAAAAATCATAAATAAATTTATGTTACATATATTTAGTAAGAGTAATTTTAAAATGATATTCGTTTAAATTATTTGGAAATGTATTTTTCACAATTAAATTATGAAAAGAAATGTGTGGAGTCATTTCTAGAAATCAATTTTGTTATTTCAAATAATTAATTATGAGAAACAAAAGAAAAATAAATTAAAAAGTTGATCATTTTTAATCGTAAATTTTAAAATTATGCTTATGATGATCCTTCTTAATATAAAACACACTTTTCACTTTGAGGATATCCTCAAACATACTAAAAACTTTTATCCTTAAAAAAGCAGCATAAATTTCAAGCTAATCTAAATATATACCTAAAAAAACAATGATAAGTAAATGAGAAACTTGATTATTACTCGTGTTTTCTGCAAATAGAAATTACAAATAAAAGGAGAAGAAAAATAGAATAAGTCCAGTTAAAAAAGCTAAAAGAAACAAAGTTCCCAAACAAACCGTTTCATTGTTCTGAAATATTAATTAGTGCAAAAATGGCATTCAACTTTCTCAACACGTAAAATGTCTGCATCTTTTCACAAAGTAAAAAAAGAAGTTCAGATCCTCTTATCTCTTTCTGCCTAAGAAATAATATATGACGCAGTCCATGAGATTTTATTCTTCTTGAGCCCAGAAATAGATGCTTTTTCATGCTTTAATAAGCTCATCCATCAACTTGTAACGTGGCTATGTAATCTGAAGCTGTTTGCACGCATGTCCATATCGTTGTTGTTCAGGACTATTTTGGCATTATGTATCTGTTTCGCAGTGTGCTAAAAAATTCTCAAGGAATAATGTTGGGAGAACGGTCATTATTAATCACTCATCAAATAGTTTAAAAAACGTTAAAGCAGCAGCGTCAATGCTACCTGGTTGATAGAAATGCATGGAAAGCGTTGTGAAACATAAAATACATTAAAGTATTTATTTATTTTTACCTTAATCTTTAGAATTAAGTTTAAACGGATTTTTAAAAAAAAAACATT